AAAAATCGTGAAAAATTTGGGAGTGCTTCAAAAATCTTTATGTCTGTTCTAGGGGGGAAAACCAAAGCATAATGGTACATATTCTCAAAAAAGTTTGACCAAAAGGGGATGCCTTTGAGGAACAAGTTGCATTTATTATCGCAATATGTCAAACAATTCTAAATCTAAATAATGAAAGTATTTTAATTAATACTTTATTAATTAAAAGTAAAATAGAAAAAAATAAAATAAGTTTTAAAATTCTTCTAAGTATTATAGAGTTATTTGTTTACTAATGATATATTTTAAAAAAAAATTAAGAAGAAAATCAAATTTACAGAAGGCAATTTAAGCAATGAAGATCAAAAAATGTATGAGCAGGATGATATTGAAATTCAAAATACTCCAGAAGAAGTAGAAAATAATAAAATAATCTGGGATTGCAATTGGAAAATATAGGAATAGAAAGATTTATTTTGGCAATAAGTGATGTAAATGTAAATGATTAATAAAAATATATAAAAAAAAGTAATTTTCAATAAATAAATTTTTAAAAAGAAATATTTTAATAATAATGTGAAATTATTTTATTATAATTTAAAACATTTGAAAATCTTTAAAGTTTTATATATAAATCTTCATTCTAAAGACTTCCAATGATGATGAAGCATCTTTGGTGTTTTACATCCAAAAATCTCTGGAGATTTTTGTCAAAAAAATTTTCTGGTGTAATAAATTCTAAATCAATATTACTATATATGAGATTTAATATAAGAATAAATGAAAAATGTGTATATTTGGAATATCTTCTTTAAAGATTCTTTAAAAAAAACTTCTTTATCAAATTAATTAATGAAAAGTTACTAATACTTTTCAAATTGATTATAAAAAAACTAAATATATATAAATAAGTAAAGTATATAGTATGCAAACAGCAAGTAAAAACAATAGAACATCTGCTAAAATACTTAGTGTATAAAGTTCAATAGTAAGAAATATGAAACAAAAAAACAGAAGTTATTCTAAAAAACTTTAAAAACTTCTATATAATAAAAGAAAAAAGATAAAAGAGAAAGAAATAAGGATTCTGATTAAAAATAGAGTATAATTAGAAGAATTGGACAAATATATAGTCAGATTTATAGAAAAGATTATAGAAACAGGTCAAAACATACTGAATTTTTGTATGAGACTAATATGAAATAATCAAATATTAAAAATATCAAATTTAAAATGTTACTAGAAAAGAATAGGTAAAGAAATTCAAAAATAAATAATAAAAGTACAAAAAAAAATTTGTAATCAATTTTAAAAGAAGATTTAAAATAAAAAGTACTTAATAATGATTGAATAAAAATAAGCATAAGAGATTTATAGAGAAGATAAAATAAGAAAACTAGTCAATTCTTTAGATTAGAATAACACGATTACAATTATAAAAAAACCTTTATAGAAAGAAGAAAGACTAGAAGATGGGGGTCTGAAATGAATCTTATTAAAAGAAATAATGTATAGAATAAGATGGTTAGGATTTTAACTTTTGGCAAAATCCACAAAGAAGATTTATAATAGTAATTTGCAAGTAATGATATTAGTAGTTCGAATAATTTTTATTTAAGCTACTAATGAAGTAATAAATTATTTTCAAAGTTGTACTTAGAGTAATAATAGTCAAGACAAGTGAACTAATTAGAGATTCAGTTTTAGCGATATATTTTATATATATAGTATATTAATGTTTAATAAAAAATATATAATTAACTTGACAAAGGATAAAAAAAAAAAGTTAAATAATAGTATAAATAAATAATAGTCAAAAAATTTTTTTTATAAATAATATAATCAGTTAATATATTTGTTAGGAAGAACTTAAAAAAATTGAATTGTTTTTTTTTATTGTATTATAAAATTGATAGATTAAAGTAAATATTTCAAAGCAATAAGCTATTCAGTAATTAGAAAACAAGATATTATAATATAAAAATATCAAAAATAGTTGAGAAAAAGGTATTATAACCTGAATTAAAGAAGTTCTTGAAAAGTAATCAACTTATGATACTAAAATGGTAGTAATGGTAATAGCATAATATTTCAAGTTTTCACAATTCCTAGAAATATTTTGTTTGAAAATTTTATAAAATCATTTTATTATTTTATCTGGTGCACTTGAAGTAAATAAAAATTGGTTAAGCTTTTATCTCATAATAATAATAATAATAATAATAATAATAATTCTTGATAGTAATCTTGTTCGGAACTCTGTAATTTATACAAAAATATAATATTTCTTTCTTTTATACAAGTAAATTGTTTCTTTGCTTTTACGTAATTAATAAATCACGTGCATAAGCTGGCTGCGGATAATGCAAATAATAATAATAAAATAATTTTCCCAATTTTTTTTTTTTTACTATGATTTCAGGAAAAAGATATTTGCAAGATTTTGATTTTAGTAAATCGAATCACTCAAATTTTTAATTCAGGTACGATTTGAAACCGTTTATTACAATTGAAAATTTTACATGCCGCAATGTAAAAAATAAAAAGTATTTAATGCAGTAAGTATGAATGAAACAATGTTTCAAGCTAAACGTTTCAAATATGGTACCGTTATTTTTTGGGAAATCGATATACTGTATATGGCAAATAATAAAATTGATGCAATTAATTAATGAATGGAGAAACCATTTAACCATATAAGTTCACGCATCATAGGCGGACACCCGAGAATATGGTACGGATAAATTGATCCGCAGCATAGGGAAAAAAAAGTGTTCAGTGCTTCTTTAAAGATGTATAATGGATCCCGACTAATTCCGGTTGATCGATTTTATATGAATTTCTTATTTCTATTCCCGCAGCAATAACTGTCTTGGATTGTAAGTAGATGGCCCCATAGTAAGGGAGAAAGTATGGGTTATATATACGATCTTTTTAAGAAAGGAGGATTGGTTAGTTTAAGCCTAAACAAGTTTGCTACTCAATGAGACAGACACCTACAGAGACTATTGCCACTCTTGTATTCTTTTTGCGCAATAAGGTCGTCATTGTCGACAGTAGGTCGTGTAAGATAATACACGACCAGAAATGTGACCAACAAAGAATAGAGTGCCAGCAGGAATCTATGTATACTCAGGTGAGTCCATTTTCTAAATTCGACATACTTATTAGGAATGGATAGAAGATCTATTCGATATGATTCCTTGAAGAAGTAGCATGTTAAGAAATATGGTGAATTCCATAGTGCCGTAAATATACCGGGATATCCGTTATGGCGACATTCTGTGTATATGAGAAAACTTATAATTGATGTCAGGATGAGATAAATCAAAGCTCCTCCGATCAAACTCCAAGTCAAAATGGAGGTGGCACATATATCAACGTTTTGTTGTTGATACATTGATTGGCAACCATGTAAAAGAACAACGGATAAAGCTTGATCTCCACCTATATTCAGCATTGCCAAGTTCACGACGTGATAGCCGAGGAGGGCGACGCTAGTGATAAACATCTTTATTTTCCGTTACCATGTGAGCCTTGTCAAAATTTAGATATTGAATCTCGAATAGTTAAATTGTAAAGAAAACTTACTTCCCAGTACGGAACTATGCGGGAGACAATTTCCCCCTGTGGAATAACTCTTCCAAAGTTCGGGTTTCTGTATTGGAATCCATTTGTATCGGTGCCTGAATCAAGTGCTGTCTTGGATAAGTTTTCTGAGCTAGCTTGCTGAAACCCGTAATAAGACTGAGCCACCGTAGGGGTTTGGTTCGTTGACTCGGCGGTATAAATTGCATTAGAGCTGTCCAAAACGTGGTCACGTTGCTGTCGAACGTATGAACCCATCCTGAGACGATATCGGAAAGAAAGTTTTTATTTTATCTTGGAAAGAAAAATCTTATGTACTGTACGTGTTATATGTATTGTATTACATGTCATTGATCGTAACGGCAGTGGCTAAATTTAGTTAAGCAGGTGTACAAAAACTCGGTACGTATTTATTTACACATCTGCATAACACTCTTCTTTCAGACTTGTAATTATATAATGTCACCACCTAACGCTCCACCACCGCCACCTCAAATCCAAATCGAACCTGAAGTCATTGCCACAAACACGCTTATACTTACTGACCTAGGTAGAGAATTCTTTCTGCCCGCAAATCATGCGAGCTTGCAAAATCATTTAGAACAATATGGAGCGATCTATAAATTTGTTCCAATAAAGTCTTTCAATCGCATTCTTGTTGTTTTCTTTCAAACCAGTGATGCGAAAATCGCAAAAGCTCAGATTGAAAGGGTGTCCCTTTTGAACTGCACCTTCCGAGTATACTTTGGACCGGTAAGATCGTTTTTAACATTTATCTCTTGACGAAATCCTTAATAACTTGTCTCCTGATTCGATATAGCACACACCGATTTCTGATGAGTTTGAGGGTTCAAGGTTTCTCAATGTTCCAGAAATGGAAAGGAATTTGCTTATTTCTCCACCCGGATCGCCACCTGTTGGTTGGAACCAAGTGCGTGAAGAGTCTCCAAACTCTGTCACGTTGGCGGATGATTTAATTCATGCTCTTGCGCATATTTCCATACACAATCTGGATCCAGAGTTATCAGACCTGGAAGGATTCTCGCTAGACAACAATCCCGAATCAGACATCAATATTTCACAAAGACAGATACCCATATTAACCGTTCTTCCCAAAGAATTTGAAAAAATTTCTACTGGAGAGCGAGAAGCTGATGTTCCACTTATTCTAATTCAAGATTGGGATGATACTCCTTCATTCAACAAAAATATTAAAAAGCCTATGCAAATTAATTCTCGAATTAAGGCACAATTTCGTCCAACTCCAGCTCCATTTTCATTATAAATTTGTAAAAAAAAAAAAGAGTTATTTTTCTTTATTCTGAGGTTTATGGTTGATACGTGACCTAGGTTGCACAAAACATTTAACAAATAAAAAGTTGCCAAATTTACCACATAATTCGTTTTTTTTTTTTTACGATTCGCGAGCATAACATTTAATAATAATAATATTTCCTCGAGTATTTGTTGTTAAAAAAAGTTATGTACACACAACCACCTCCGAATTCCCAACAGTCTACGCAACGCCCTATTCCAAATCAATCGCAGTCACAACCTTTAACGCCCCAAGTTGTACCGTCCCCGACACAACAAAATTTTCCAGGTTGGCGACCAGCCGGAACAAACGCGCAACCACTTCGTCCACCACCACAAAATGTTAGGCCCGGTTTCATACCCGGTCAGCGTCCCCCTCAAACTGTTGCATCAGGTTTTTATACTTTCTTCTGTTAAATTCGAAAACGATTGGTTTTTCACACGTCGTTCGGACACATACTACGTCTCCTCGAACACCTCAAAGTTCTCTCGAAATAGCCCATTCAAAGATGTAGAATCAAGATCCTTTTGATAATCATTGTTATTTTAACCCATAACTTGATGATAATGAACGATTTATTATTTGTGATTCTAAACTCAAAATCAGTAATACTTCAAATAATTTGTCGTTTTAGGAATTAGACCTGTGATGCAAGGCCAACCACCGACAGTCGTCGCACAGCAACCTCCACAAGTTAACGCTTTTCTCGGATCAGGACCACCTGTGATTCCGCCCCCTGGTTCGGTATACCCACAATCGAATATTCCTACCAGACCTCCAGGTCCACCGGGACCCATGCGCCCACAACAGGGATTGGATGTTACTGGCATGGGCGATATGGTGAATCAAGTTAGCAATATGGAGATTAGTCCGCGTCCACCAGTAATTCAAAATACTTCCATCCTGAATCAACCTCAAATTGATGTAATGTATTTTATCAGTCCAAATGCAATCGCAAAGAAAAAGTGTTTGCATGTATTAGAACATTTTCTTGACAACGGTTTCCCTCTTAGCAGCCTGCTAGGCCACCAAGGCAAAATCGTACCAAGAGAGCTTATCACCCGAGTTCAGATATCAATGGTTCTTCGTATACCTCTCTGACGCCATTTCCAAACAACTATAATCAACCACCACCCGTGGATAACGCACCGCAGCCTGGACAACAACCGATGCAACCAATGTATTCTCCCATGGTTCCTCAACATCCTCCGACTGTACAAGGAATGCAGCAGACTATGCAACCAATCCCACACCAGGCGCCGTACATGCATCCTCCTTCTCAGACGCAGCCCATGCCTCGTCCTCCGATCCAAAATCCTCCCAGATCTCGGATCGATCCTAATCAAATTCCATCGCCAGTCACCGTTCAAGAACAAGATCAACAACTTTTCGATGAACAACCGTATATGACCTTATCCAAATCGACCGTACCTCTGGCGAGCTCTGATTTTAAAGCTGTCGATGAAGGTAAAGTATAGTTATATCTCATATAGATATAATGCATGTATTTTACTCACCTCTAAGAATATTTTCGTTACCGGTCTCTCATTTAAAGGCAACTCTAATCCGCGATTCATGAGGCTGACACTATATTCTATACCTCATAGCGAGGATCTCCTTCAGACATCTCATTTGCCACTGGGCGTCATTTTACAGCCTCTGGCTAAATTAAGGAATGACGAGGTTCGATCTTTAAAATTCACATCTGTAGACTTCTCCACGCGCTAAGATATTTAATGAATTGACAGGCTCCAATTGAGGTCGTCGATTTCCAAGAACAAGGACCAATTCGTTGTACGCGATGCAAGACTTATATTAATCCATTCGTGATTTTCGTTGAGGGAGGGCAGAAATTCATATGCAATATGTGTTCGTTCTCTAACGAAGGTTCGGATCGTCACTTGATAATCTTCTATCCCCAAAAGGAAGAAAATCCGATTAATTATCGCTTCTTTTGTTTAAAGTTCCACCTGAATACTTTTGCAATTTGGACATGAGTGGGCGGCGGGTGGACATTGAACAACGACCTGAGTTGAAGTACGGAACGGTGGAGTTCACTGCTCCGAAGGTAATTAGGGAAAAAAGGGTTCAACAAAGTCAACGACATGAAGAATATAATGTTAAATGACTATATATATGTTTTATTGAATGTTCACAATTTAGGAATATTGGGCAAGACCACCTTCCCCGTTGTCATGCCTCTTTGCTATTGATGTGTCCTTTAATGCGGTTAAAAGCGGAATGGTTGCGACATGTGTAAATGCAATTCTCGAGATTTTGTATAATTCTCCGAGTGGCATCTCACCAATCAACAGAATTGGAATAGTTACCTATGACAGAGACGTGCACTTCTACAGTTTGCAGGTATTTGCTAATATTTCTTATTGATTGAACTTGGATTATTCCAGTCATCAATATTATTATAATTATTTCATAGCCGCAACTCGAGCAAGCTCAAATGTTGGTTGTCTCTGATATTAATGATGTCTTCGTGCCGTTGAATTCTGGTCTTTTTGTGGATCCAAATGAATCAAGGTAAGAATCTCTGTAGAATTTGGATAACTGTAGTGTCGTTCATATATTAAACCTAATTTTTGCACCCTGAAACAAAGAACTGTCATAGAGGATCTTTTGAAATCTTTACCAACAATGTTTGCTGAAAATAAAGTTATGGATGCGGTACTGGGTGCTGTTGTTAAAGCATCGCATATGGCTTTGGTATGGAGCGGAGCTTTAAGTACTTTATTTCACATAAAGTTGCCCTTTTGCAAGATATATTCTATTTGTTTATCCAATGAATAACTGATTTCTATGGCAGAATGAGATTGGAGGGAAGCTCGTAATATTCCAAACAACTTTGCCAACGTACGGCCCTGGTTCCATTAAACATAGGGAAGATTCCAAAGTATACAACACCGACAAAGAAAGGCTACTATTCGGTCCCCAAGATAATTATTACAAGACGTTGGCCACAAGTTGCGTTGACTCTGGAATCTGCGTCGATTTGTTCTTATTCCCAAATTCCTACATTGACATTGCAACGATTGGTAAGCCTCTATGAGGATCGGTTATTTGTGTTGATTCGTGGATCTCGAAAGTTTACTCAATTTTATTTCAAAATTTAGGGATACTGTCTTGTTTGACTGGGGGTGAAACCTACTTCTATCCAAACTTTGATGCTCAGAGGGATGGTGTGAAATTTTCAAACGAGTTGATGCAAAATCTCACTAGAGAATTTGGGTATAATGCACTCATGCGGATTCGGTGCTCTAACGGTTAGTCTTATTATTATGATGAATGAAATATCTTCCGGATGCAATCGGTTAACTTTCAATATTTATATGAAATCTTTAGGTCTAAGAGTTGAAGATCATTTCGGTAATTTCAATATGCGAAATGCGACTGACGTAGAACTCGCGGGCGTCGATAGTGACAAAGCATTTGGCGCCTTATTTAAGTATGACGGTAAACTTGATGAAAAAACTGACGCTTATATTCAGTGTGCTCTCTTATACACGACCTCGAGTGGTCAACGTCGGGTGCGGACTCACAATCTAAGTGTTACTGTCACACAACTTTTGGGAAATGTTTTCAGGCATGCAGAAATGGACACCACCGTCAACTTCTTGGCCAAGCAAGGTATTGAAATATAACGGGATTCAATTTTTTTAAATGCCATTTTCGTTGCAAATCAAACGATCACATTTTCTAACAATTTGTCGATTAAAAAAAAAAGCTGTGTCAAACACTCTCACAAAATCGCTGCGAGATATTCGTGATCATCTGACTGAAAAGTGCGTCAAAATATTGATGGCGTATAGGAGGCATTGTGCAACTTCGAGCTCCTCTGGTCAACTAATCCTTCCCGAAGCTTTCAAATTATTTCCTCTATATACTTTGACAATGTTAAAGTCCAAAGCTCTATGTGGTGGTAAGACATGAGTGTATGTCTTTGCAGTCTTTTTTTTTTTAAGGATGATCCGTGTGATAAAAGTTTCAGAAAATTCTAGTAGGGAATTTAACTAGCGACGTTCGAGTGCATTGCATGCGCTTAATAAAAAGCATCGGAGTGCCGGATAGTGTAGTGTTCTTTTATCCGCGACTTTTTCCAGTGCACCAACTTTCTGATCAGGTGAGCGAAAAACTTGATGAATGGCATCAGAAAATGCTTGGATTTGTAATTAAATCAGGTTTTCTTAGGTTGGGTTTCCGGATCAATATGGTAGAGTCAAATTACCACCATTAATTCGCGTGTCGCAAGCCAGATTTAGTCACGATGGGGCGTATCTTCTCGGTATGTGAATCCCAAAGGTTTTCTCCTAGATCATCGTGAAAAAAATTTTGCAAGTATTAATATTTTCGATCCTTAGAAAACGGTCAAATATTAATGTTTTGGTTGGGTCACCAAATCTCTCCCGATTTCATCCGAAGTGTGTTTGGTGTCGAATCAATTGAACATATTAATCCGAAGCTTGTAAGATTAATAATTACTTTGTCACGTTCTTCAAATCCATCATATTAACAGTTGTCGTGAAATCGTTTTATTAGTCCGTTCTTCCTGCGTTAGAGAACAAAACATCCATACAAATTCGATCAATCATAACGTACTTGCAATCACAGAGATCAAAATATTTACGCCTAACTATTGTACGAAAGGGCATCGATCCTTCAGAGTTGGAATTCAACTGTCTATTAGCTGAGGATGAAAACAATGGTGCAATGTCATATGTCGATTACTTATGTCATGTTCACAAGCAAATTCAAGCCGAGGTCAATATGAGTGACTGATAGCGCGTCTTTATCTGCAATGAAATCTACTTTGGGTTCCACCACCTAGCCTGTCCGTGCAATGGACAATTCAGTTATTATTAGATATTTATTGGTAAATATTCTAAATATTTAATTCAGCTAGTAAAATTTTCTTGCTCATATATTTATATTTCAAAAAATTTTGTACGTTGTCAGTATTTTCTTCGTTGTATTATACAATTAGACTACTTTTGAAAAAAAAAAAATACTTTAGTAATACATAATAGATGAATTCTTGTTTCACTTTCTTTTTTTTTTTTTTCGCCAATTTTGAATATCATAGCTAATTAGCTATGTCGCCGATCATAATTATTGGCCGGAATGGTTTCGAAAAGTAAACGATGCATAATATTAATTGGACATTCAATGAAATTTAAAATGATTTTCAATATACTGTATTTATTTAAAATATTAATATTTAAATAAAGCATTAGTTTTATTTGGTAAAGTGTGGTTTCACTGATGAATACGAATGTTTTTACTAGCCAATAAAGAATATTTTTTTAAAAAAAAATTGTCAAATTAAGATTAATATTTGCAATATCAAAATTAAATTCGGTCTATTATGACAGTACGTAGACAGATAATTCAAGAAACTCAAAAAAAAATACTTTCTATAGCCGACAAATTCACAAAAATATAATATTATGGACTCATTTAAATTACCATTAGAATTAATAAGTAAAAAAGAAAGACCGTGATAGGAGCAAAAGGAAATCGTGGTAGGAATGCAGGAAGCTCACCAGCAGTAAAAGCTATCATTATAGGCAACCAGCCCATTATACTGTATATAGTAAAAGAATACCGACGGCAAGCTGAGTCTAATATATCTAAAGGATCACGGGATTTGTTGAAGAATAAACGGAATAGCCGGTCGATCTCCTAATTTATTTCACGGAACAATTTCCTTTATGTGCCGCCATTCCCTTATTAAGGTGTCTTATGCTAACATATTATCAGCATTTGCCGTACCGGGAACATCAATAAACGACTTTTCTTTCCTCTTCTTCAATATGTTTCCAATGAAAAATTCACCTGCTTTATAACTGCTCCTAACCAATGGTCCAGAGGCTGTATACAAAAATCCCAGGTCATTGCCTACCTTCTCCCAATATGAGAATTTCTCGGGTGTCACATATTCGTGAACTTTCATATGTCGCTTTGTGGGGCGCATATATTGGCCTAGCGTTACGCAATCAACTTCTATCTTGCGCAGTTCTGTTTATAAAATAAGTTATGAATTTTAAAGGATCAGTTAATTTTAAACTAATAGAAATGTAAATCCATCTTAATACTTTAGGTTTAAATAATGAATAGTCGAAATAACGAGTGACAAGCACCTTTCAAAGTGTCCATTACATCTTCGTCGGTTTCACCAACTCCAAGCATTATGCTAGTTTTTGTGATTAAACTTGATTGATATTTCTTAGCATACTCCAACACTTTCAAACTTTGTCTGAATGTCGCTCTATGATCTCTTACGTATGGTGTTAACGCCTCCACTGTCTCAACGTTATGTGCGTATACATCTAGCCCCGAATGCACCACCTTACTAACGCTTTCTAGATTTCCTTGAAAATCTCCTGTTAGGCATTCTACTAATACGTGTGGTGCCCTTGAAAGATCATATTTCGTTAAAATGAAGTTAGATTAAATTAAAAATATAATAAATTCATACTTACTTTTTTTTTAGTAACTTGATGGTTTCTGCGAAATGTTCTGATCCACCATCTGGAAGATCTATAAATTTTCAAAAAATAAGTTATAATTGATTCAAACATAAATATTATAATATTTATCTATAAATACCATCCCGATCAACCGAAGTCAATACAACATAATCTAAACCCCATTTTGAGATCGCCTGAGCCACATTCTCCGGCTCATTGACGTCAAGAGGTTTAGGATTTCTACTTGTTTTCACCGAACAAAATCTACATCCCCTCGTGCATTCATCGCCCATCAACATGATGGTTGCAGTGGCGGTCTTGTGCTCACCACCACCCCAACAGTCGCCTATATTCGGGCAACGCGCCTCTTCGCATACCTATAAACACAAAGATAATATACTCTGTTTGATCTAGTAAATTTAATAACTATAGGTTGATACTTACTGTGTGTAGGTTCAAACCTCGAAGGTCACTTTTTATCCTTGTATAGTTCTCTCCAACAGGAATTTTAGTTTTAAGCCATTCTGGTAATCTTTGATGCCTAAAATAATTGCAAGATCATATGTTAATTGAAAATAACACGTACAGTAGATACAAAATTAGCATGTACTATTCTTTTTTTGTTTGTTTTTTTTTTTTTGCATACAATATTATAATGAATAAAGAATTACAAATTATGCTCACGGTTTCCTAAATCTTCCCTCAATAGTTTGTCGTGAAAGAATATCATCCACGTCTTGATTTGATCCTTTTTTATCTTCTTGATCCAAGCCAAATGATTCTTGTGAGCCTGAAACAATAAAATCTTCCAATCCTGGGCCTGATTCCAATTTCTTCGAGAATTGAGATAGTTTTAGGGTAGATGTTGTTTTGGGTGAGAATTGTATTAATTTATTGAATGCGTTGTTAGGGTAACGAGCGTTCTATATGTAGAATATCAATATAAAAATCAATAAATTAAGAAGACAAGAATAATGTCTATTAGGAAGACGGTGTATTGAAAAATACTTACCAAAAGCATAACATTAATTTTAAGGATTGTCCTTGAAAAAACATGGTCAAGGATAATATTTTTTCGAGGATTCAGAAAAAACATGATTTCGATATAGATTGAATTTTGTGCAACATATAATATAAAAATGCTTATTTCACGTGCCAACGGGTAATCCACGCGCTACTATCATATTTGTATTAAATAGAGTAATGTTTAAAAAACTTTTGATAATAAAAATTCCAAATTATTTATAGTAAGGAAAATTAGTTTTAAATATTGATTAGTTTCAATTATAAGATAATAAAATATATAGTATTAAAATTTATTGTAATATCCATAGCCAAGCTAGATCATATTTTATTAATCAATTGAAAACATAAACATATTTTCACTTGAGCAATATAATATATACTATAGCTAAACATTTCTATCACATTTAACAAACTCATTATAGGCAATAATAGTCTTTAAGTTTGATTTTGGAAACAATATTTTGTTTTATAATAAACTTTAAATAAATATTTTTTTGATTTATTACTTTATTATTGATAGTTATTATTGTTATATATCTTATCAAGCTATTAAAATATAGAAAATTACAAAAGAAATAGATTGAAAAAAAGGATAGGAATATAAAAAATATACAAGTGTACTATAAGAAAACAAAAAAAGTTGAATATACATCTCTTTTCACTAATTCCCATTTTTTTCAAAAAAAAAAAAAATTTTTTAAAAAAAGAGAAGTCAATTCAAAAAACAAAAGAAAACTAATATCAAAGACCATTCACTTACAAGAAACACTATAGAAACACTATAGAAGTAACTAGTTATAGTATAGGAACAGATGAGTACTTAAAAACTTCTAATCTTTCTATATAAAAATTTTTTTTTTTAGAAAAAATAAATAAAAACAAAAACTGAATACAGTAGGCTCTTAAAAGTTCAACATTAACCTTACAAAGCTCTCAGTCAGGCCAGTACAAGGTAACATCTTTTTAGATATCAAGAGAAACCTTACAAGCAATAATTTAGATTGATAAATCAGTTTAAACTCAAATATTTATAAAATTCAAAGAAATATTCAAGCTTTATTGACTATATAGCAAAGAAGTATATATATCACAATAAACAAAATTTCAACAAACACAATATTATATGAATATGAACACATATATTTCCTTAAGAAAAATAAGATCAATAAGATATGTTTATATAAACAATATTTGCAAATAATCTATATATTTACAGTAAATAGATCAATAATATCCTATATTTTCATATATCTATAATAAGCTAATCAATAATAGCAACATTATTATCACAACAAATATGTGAAACATAACCTAATTTTACAACACAACAACTTTAAGATTTTTTCATACTATCAAATTAGTAACAAGGAATAAACAAACTTTCACTGCATGTTATAAATAATAAACCACAAATAAAATCTATTAATCTGTAATATGTGATAAATATAACAATGTTAACAACACAAAAATTACTACAGATCACAAAAAAACATAAAATTTATATTCTAAAAATTCTAATCAAATTATCAAACAAGTATAATCAAGGAAAAAAACTATGGATAACATAAATGATCTTTAATATAATTTCTATACAAAAAAACAATCCCAATCTAGTCCTTAATTCTACAAGATGCTTAATTATAGATAGCATTATAGCTAAAATCCTTAACATTGATCACACCACTTTCACTAAAACTACAATTCTAAGACAATACATCCTATATTTATAGACTCAAGAATAAGAAAAAAAAAATGATTTGTTGACCTCTTTCTTGAAAGACAAGTATATAGAACTGATAAAACAAGAGAAAAAAATATATTGGCAATAACAAATAAAGCAAAAAAACATCATTACAAATAACTCATATCCAAGTTTGACAAAACTATCAAATGAAGAAGCAATTATGAAAATTCAACCAATATACACAATAAAAGTTCCTAACAATATCAAAATAGAAATAAGTGATAAAGAAATTGAGAATCAATTGGAAATAGAGAAAATTCAAGAAGAAGTAAAAGGAGATAATATTATAGAGCTACAATTTTACAATACTAACTAGTATTAATTCATTTCACATTATCAAAAATAGAATATATAAACTGGAAACTCTAAGATCCAGAATATTAGAAGAAAATAAAAGAAAAGAATGGTATATTTCCAAAATGCTCTTAGCCTATTAAAGGAACTTCAACTATATACAAAAGAATTTCTTAATAGTAATGCTTGATTAATTTTCACTTTTGAAAAAAAAATATACTTTGAATTATTTGAAGAAAGTTAACAAAAAAGAGGGTGAGAATTTCATGATAATATATATAAGCACAAAAAAATGAAAAGGGCCAGAATTTCTACCTAATAAAAAAATCTTTAAAGAAAAAATAGAAAGAAAGAACAAAGACCTATTTATAATCCTAATTGATATAGACCATAGTTATATATGGCAAGAAGTTAAGACAGTCTTATAGATATATAGAAAACTCACAAATATCCATATATACAACTATTTAAGATTACAATAAAGAATTAAGATATGAGACACTCATTATAAATAAAACAATAAGCTAAAAGATCTATGAATGATCCCTATCAAAACAGAAGTAATAAGGATTATTTTCACTCAACATGAATCCAACAATCAAAAAGTTGATAAAATCAATAAAAAGTGTAATAACCAATTCTTAAGACTATATGAAATGCATAATATTCTTACAAACTTATTAATATGTACCTTAAAACAAATCAAAGTAAAAGTTTTTTATATATTCAGAAATCCATATATACTCAAGAAAAGAGGATATGTGGTTATATATTTTATAACAGCAAAAGATCTTAATAAAATACTTAAATAGTACATTTTTTTATATAAACATAAACATATATAAAATACCAAAGAATATTTCAAGATAGGTATACAATAATAAGATGAAACCATAGAAGAAGTAAACATTTCATAAAAAGAGAGATATGTAAAAGCAAAATATAAAACTAGCAGTATTCATTTCAAAAAAATAGATGAATCCAGTATAGATTAATATAACAATCACCTGGATAGAATAGACATTAGATTCAATAGAAAGTCTATATAGAGAAAAACTCTTTTAGAATAATCTGATCCTGGATATAACACAGAAAACTTTAATATAGAATTTGAAAAAAGAAGATCAAGATTCTATATAACAAATGCAAGAAATTCAAGACAAGGATGCAATCAATAACCAGCAACAGAAAGCAATAGGGAACTAATAAAATACAAAAAATAAGATATAAAAAATACAGTTCCAGAATCTCTACAATATAATTACTGAATCTTAATCAGAACAAAACTTATTACAACAAATTCTATATAGTTTAAACAAACTAAACAGCAGAATGGGTCATATTTAAAAAGAGATTCAACTCTATTCTGAATCTATAAGATGAAAAGAAACTAATTACTCCTAAAAGTTACATCAATTCAAATAAAAAATACTAGTAAAGAACAAACTCATAAAAAGAATTCAGTACTTCCTGAATCAAAAACAATTTCAAAAACAACAATCCAACAACAAATATATTCTTTTCAAACAATCTCCCTACCGCTACACAACACTTAAACAACTTCATCAAATTGATCAAAACAAATACTATCACAAGAACCTTAAAGAACAAACAATATATCAAAATGACATACTGCAATCTACTATAAAAAGAAACTATAACTATAGGAATACACAATATAAAAAAAACAAATACAATATTGAATTAATAATGTTTATATGATAAGATACAAGAACTAGATATAGAGATTATAGATATCAGTAAAACAAAACTAAGGAGTGAAGTAGTAGAACATACTTTTAAGTTCTAAAAGATATATAATTTTTTTGCAATTATAATAATATTAAATATAGAGAATTAGGTATGAATTTCCTTATAAATAAGACATATGAAAAGAAACTGAAATTGATTGAAAAAATAGAAAGCTATATTATAGGTGCAAACTTTTTTTTAAAGAAATGCAAACTATATATATATTAAATCTACTACTATCTGAAAAAACAAAAAGTAAATAACTTCAAATAATAATGTAAAAAGAAATCCTAAACAAATAACAATAGAAATTCAATATTATTATTATTATTTTTTTTTTGAGTACCTATAGTCAGGCTAGATTGTAAGTTTATTAATCAATTGAAAATATAAGTATATTTTCATTCAAGCAGCTTGATACATACTACAGCCAAACTATTATTCTAATCTAACTAACTTGTTTTAAGCATAAAAACCTTTAAGTTTAGCCTTGAGAACAATATTTCATTCCACAGTGTCTTTGGGTAAAAATCCTCCTAGTTTACTACATCATTACCAACAGGTTGTCACTGCTGTATGTTATACCAAGCCACTGGAATACAAGAAACTACAAAAGAATGGATTGAAAAAAGAAAGGGGGGATATCTAAAAATGTTTAAATAGACAACAAGAAAATGAAAGAGTAAAAATTGAAAAAAAATATTTCCAGCTTCCTTCAAAGACCTACTTCTCAAGACCTCTTTTCAATAAGAAATGCTCGATTGGGTTATTCTTTCTTTTTCTAACTATCTAAGGAACTTATCTATTCTTGATCTTGATTTCCTTCTTGTCTACTGTCTAAGGAGACTTGTTGCCTAGTGGGGGCCTTTATTTCTAGGACACACTTAGTCCCAACCTTCTTTGTATAGTGATTTTTTATTTATTTGCAATAGACAAATGATTTATAATGGACCTCAGGTTCTTATATGACCTAGTAGGGACTAGTTCATATTGTTTCAATATAATACTTTTCAACAG